TAGGGGTTTTCCAAGATAAAGAATGCTGGAAAAAAGGTTAAATTTTGCCTTTAAAAAGGGCCAAAAATCGTGTTGTTTAATTGCACAAATGGTCCCCTACTTAAAAACACGGTCAAATGGGACCTTGTGCAATAGTCGCGATGTCGGTAAGTGGCGTTGCAACGCCACGGCTCTATAGTTGAGCCTTCACCATCACGTCGTGGGGCCGCTGTAGCTCCACTTGCCATTTTCTCTTTTTGCAACTCCAGTCCTCCGAATAATTGAGAATCCAATCCTTTAACTCTCATCTTGTGCATTTTAGTCCAGGAATTTTGGCTTTCCTTTCAATCACGCCCTCTAACTAAACTTTCGGCACTTGTACACTTTGGTCCTCAAAGTCATGTTTTTGTGCATTTTTTGTCCTCTTTTCCTTCCTTTAGCTCTTTTCTCTTCCAAATGGGAATTGTGGCCTACAAACACCATAAATACACAATTATGAATAGGAATTCGCTCAATTTCATCAATAATTAGCTCATTAAAGTACTTAATAAATGTGTAAAAACACATTTATCAATAGGTAAGTCACAAATCTAAATCACAATTGGTTCGAAAATAGCAAAAACACTTAAAAAAAACTAAAGGGTAGGATGGTCTTTTGGAGCAGGGACATAGTCCTCAAGATCTTTATTAGCAGGGGAGATATGAACTCCTGTCGCCTCTGAAAGCCGTAGCACTTTTTTATGTTCCTCCAAAAACTCCATTAGGAAAGCGGTATCAAAATCTAGGCTCTCCCTGTCGATATGCTTTACTAGTTTTTCCATTGCTACAACTAAGCATCCTATACCTGAGCAACAAACTCAAGGGAGGCCCTCCTAAAGGTCTACAACTTTGATCACTTTTGCCTCAGCCTCTTCTGCCCTCTTCTCAGACTAGTCAGCACGAGCCCACTCCTCATTAACTCGGGCTCATTCATCTTCATTGATAGGCTTTCTCCCCCATAGTTCCAATGCCTTATTATCGTCCATTAAACTCAGCTCTGAGGCTGACTTCGACTCCGACTCAATGCCTATTTTATTATGCCGATATTCATACTCCCCTCCTTCTCTGCAAACTTGGCCCTCTCAGCATCCATGCTCTCATAAAGGCTCAAGGTTTAGTTCCCAACCTCAAGCATCTTATCCAGCTTGGCCTTTGCCTAGGACAACACAAATAAAACCTGAAGTTATGCACTGAAAAAAGCTCAAAATATTATCAAGCATGCAAGTTTGAGAAAAGTTACCTTATCTGCCACAGACGACTATATAAGATTGATCTATGGCTATGAAGCTAAGCTGAGATGATGGCCTCAACAACTGGCATCTCAGCCAAGAAGTGTTGCTCCCTATCATTCCAACTCCTAAAGATGAAATGCGCGGAGTCACGAAGTGGAGGAGACAATTCAGCGATGGTATCCCATGAAGGGGATGGTACCCGAAGATGTAAAGACAGGAACCCACCAAGGCATTTGCACTGGGTCGCAAATCAAGGCATCGCTTTTACAACCTCAAAGAGCTAGTCACACTAGCAGTAGGGAAGGAAAATGATGGAGGTGCCAACCTCTGCTTGGGCACCACTAGGGATGAACTCTCCGAAGATAAGACTACAGTAGGAGTCTTGGCAAGAGGAACCTTAAGACAACTTCGCTTTAGTGGGGTGACCTCTTGATTGACCTCAAACTTAGTAGGCCGACTCGTGATCTCAACTAGAGCAGCCCTCTTTTTTCCTTTGTTGGCAGTCGTTGCCTTAGCTGCCTTATAGCTCAGCATGTCTGAATCACAATCTACACGATAAGTAGAAAAATATTTTCAGCATCTAAATAGCAAGTAAAGAGTTCTCAAGAGGGATCAATCTTTACTGGAAGTAGTTGGGAGAGAAGAAGATGCTTCGAGTGTCGAGGAGGTCGGAAGGACCGACTAGAATAACCCCGCCTGAAATAAGTTGGAGTAAAAAATGACGAACTTGTAGGATCTCTGCCTCTTAGGGAAAGTCCTAATTGCCTCAGCCCATCTTTGAGTTGCAAGGGTCAAGGTCGCCTTATTATAAACTACAAAAACAAAAGTGAAAGGGTTAAAGGAATGTTACGTGCCAGTTAAAAAAAGGACCTCCACTTACACAATGTATGATAAAGGTAAGGACTATGTCATCCCTATTCACCCCAGCAAGATGAAACTACCAGTCTCTCAACACATAGAAAAATTTCTCTTTCCATGTTTTGATTGAAGGAGTGTCGACCACTAAGGAACCTCCAATCCTAGGTCTAACGCTAGCATACCATTAGCCCAAGTTCCACCCATCCTCATTAAATGTGAACATGGAGTTAAACAGTTCTATGGTAAACTTAAGGTTTCCTAGTTTATGACATAAAATAAGAGTGGCAACTAACGTCCACTATCTATTGGAGCATAATTAAGTAGGAGCTGTTTTCCAGAAAGATAAGAACTTAAAAATAACCCTAGGGAAGGAGAGCCTAAGGTTGGAATTTAAAATGGTCGAATCTAAAGCCACACATCCTACTGGGGATGCACTAGCTCGGTCTATAGGGTCAAGTACTACCATCTCCACCGAAATGGGAATACTATACTTAGCCCTCCAGCTAGCTAGCATATCTTCCGTCATGATTGACCTATATGAGTCTGTTCCCCATTCACCCAGCTATTTCCCTCACTGCTAACTCGGGATCCATTTCTTCGTCCTCATTATCTCTCGAGCTTGGGTCCGTATTCCTCAAATGACCTAAATCCCTTGGGTTAACTACAGAAATTGGCACCAGGGTCAGAATTCCTTGACAATGTAAACTCGAAGAATAGGTGGGGATAAAAGGTACTAACTCTTCATGCTGGTTACCCCAGGAATGAACTCTAGACTCATTTGAACTCATGTAATTAGTGAGAAAAAGGAAGGCCTTTTTTTGTAAAGAGAGCACCTGGGAAGTGACGACCTCACTCAAGACAAAAGAGAAGAATGAGAGAGGAAGGAAAATCTTTGCTTTGCTTGAAAAAGGAGAGAGTGCAGAAGTAAAATGGTAAAATGGCAACAGAAAAGGAATTAAAATTAAAGGAAAAGTCATGGGACTCAACCTAAATCGTTGAATAGAGAAATAGAGGAAAAATGAAGGGCCCGAATTTATCAAATCAAAACTATGTAGTTTTGACACCAAAAACTTCCAAAGGAATCAATTGAAATTGTAGGACAGCTCACTAAATGAAAACACGACACTTGGCATACCCTTCAGTCATAATAGTAATGAATCATGAGGAGATGAGCCAATCAAGTTCATAGGTCAGTCCATCCCTTGGAAAGCACAATTACGGGGTATCTGTTGACCACCGATCTCCAAACTGATTTACGAAACATGTTGTCAGTACCTATCTTGTATACATGTTAGGGTGGGTTTATACATTTAGCTCGGTATTGTGATCGTCTAATGACGAGAGACATAATAATTGCAAATTCCTTACAACTTGTGAAATCACCCAATCAGTCAGACACACTTGAAAGAAGTGATGTCAACACCGTCCATACCCACCAATCAGTTGCCACAACTACTTATCCCAGAGCAGGTCATGATTTATTGATAAAAGAGAGTGTTATTATTATGATTTGATGGGAACCGACCTCGTTAGCCAATCAAGAAATAAATCGGCGGCACACAAATCAAGCTCGGCACTATGTTTGATCTAATTGACAAGACATGATTCCAAGAAAATTAGACCTAATCTCCCCCTCCCCCCAACAAATAGAAATAACGGTCCCCTCCAAGGGGGAAAAATAAAAGAAAGAAAAAAAAAACAATTTATTTTCTTAAAATAGGTGCTCGTAACCCTCATTATCAATTAAAATAAAAAATAAATAAATAAATAAAGTGCCCTTTTTCTTAACATTGTCCCAAAATCGTACTTAGCAATTTTTTACGTCAGCATAATCAATTAAGTATCCCATAATTTTGGGATTTCTTCACCAAGAATTCGATTATTGGGATTGTGACCTTTGTTAATGACATGCGGCTTCGTGTGTATTATAGCTGATAAGTTGCATTTTCATCTGTCGTCTATCTCCGATCTCAATGTTTGGTTATGGTGAGAGAAAATAACTAATTTGTAAAATTGTAAGGGTAATATTATAATGAGAGAAAATATCTTGTAGATATACCAAATATGAATCTAATAATTTTGGTCACGTGCTAAATCGGTTGCACATCACAATCCTTTAAAATTATTCTTTATTAATTTTGAAATGACCTGATTTTTGCAATCCTATCTAAGATTTCTTATTTTTGAAAACATAACTTTAGTTATTGGTAGTTATCAAATTTTCCTCAATTTCCTTTTCTTTTTGTTCCTTTTTTTAAAGAAGAAATATATAACCAAATTTATTTTTTTGGAGCTTGGATTACGCAATTGCAGAGTCAGGTCTGGGTTCCTAGGTTGCATAGCCCAATGTTTAGCCTATTCAATTATGTATATAATTCTTTTCAAAAGGAAAAAAATAATAATAAATGTAAAAGGCTTAATTGCCTGAAGGTCTAGAGCCCAATACCATGCTCGGCTAGTGCCAAAGCTACACGAAAGCACGGTCATTGACAGCTGGACACATTTTGACATCTTGGCCGAATTAGCATCTTGTAGACCAACTCAAGGCCTTTAAGCTATAATTGTTGAAACTCCTTGGTATATCTTGACCGGTTTTTTCAGTCATATTGACCAAACAATGCGGTCTTCATAACATTGGTATGTTGCAATCCAAATCTTATTCCCAAGTCCAGAACATATACCATAGCAACTGTTGGCCACTTAAAGGTTTCTATAAGTGTAAACACATTTATGAATATTGAATATACAAACAAGAAAAATAATCTCACACAAAAATCCAAATGTGCTTTTATCAAGTCGACAATGTCGTCCAAGGAAGATACTAATATAACACTAGCGCTCGAGACATATAAATAGCTCGATCTAGAAATAAAGGAAAACGAGCACATCAAACATCGTAAATTCAGGTTTCAATCATCCTTCTTCTAGCGTCCAAAAGAAGCCATAGCAACCACTCATTTTAGATAAAGCAACACCTTCAACCCAATAAGCACATATAAACAGGTACAGATACATTTATAGAACAATCAATGTCTATATTAACACACAAACATTGGGACAAATTACCCTTTTGTAAAGAGTAAGAACATAGTGGATCTCGGAACCAATTTTGTATTTATCGGCATAAGGAAAAACGCTTGATGCACCAACATGAAAATCTTCAGCATCCCATCACAGTAGAATTATAAACAAAACTGCCAGATCGCTTTCGTCCGAGTAAATCCCACTGTGGTGGACCTTCACTTGGAACCCATGAATTGACTTCAATTAATCCTTCACCAACAGTTCTAGGACCCCCAATTACAATAAGCCTATCGCCACATGCCCTAAATGCCAAACCTCAACCATTCATAGAATCGACTCGTTCCGGTAATCTTCCTACAGTAACCCACGCTCTACTATTCTTGTTGTATTTTCTCACCTCCATGTTTGCATAATCAGCAGCATATAATTCATTATTTACGACAGCAATCGAAGGTGGCGCTATAGATGTTGCCGGCATGTCATTTTCCCTTGCTTCACCAGTCCGCACCGGGGACATGTTAGGGATTTCCGTCCAGGTCTCTGTTTCCAAATTATATTCCTCTCCACATGTGAGAAGCACTGAATCAGTTCCTCCGATTCCTCCAATTACATAAAAATTTCCATCCATGAACACTGCAGAACACATCTTCCTTGGTTTGTTCATGCTTTGGACTGTTTTCCAAGTTCCTTCATCGGAATTGTAGAGCTCTGCAGAACTGAGGATATTACCATTTGAGTCACAGCCACCGGCTAATATTGCAATCTCCCCGAGACTGGCAGATCCAAACAAACACCTAGGTGCATCCATACTCATTCCCGACGACCATGTGTTTGTCAACAAACTGTATTTACATATCACATGAGACATAAGATCCCATCCAAAAACAAGAAGCTCAGTGCCAACTGCCAAAGATTCTTTATCAGAAAAGACAAAACAATCATTAGCATTCATTCGAGGTAAATGCATCCAACGACGACGACTAGGGTCAAAGGCTTCCCATTCGAGCAAATGGCGCGAAAAGTATACCCAATGCTCAACCACACCATTTTTCCGCCTCAATTTGTAGAGCTCACCATCTCTAATAAGTGAGCGAAAACTCCGGTTTAAAGATGCAATAGCGCCATAATCAGCTCTGGAGCATCGAATGAGACAACTAATAGAGTTACCATAACCAATAGCAGCAATCAGGGAACTTGAGTCAGAATTATCCCCTGAATGTTGCTGATTATTGGAATGGTCACAAGGGGGCATTAGAATTCCACTCATTGATGAGGTAATATCCAATACACACACTGATTGCTTAGACATCTTTTGGACGAGAACTTCTCCGTTTGTTTCTAATGGTCACTTACCTTGTTGTAATTCAATTTTTTTGCAGCAGGTACTTCGTGAAAGGCCACTTGCTTCCTTGCTCGCAGGTCCTTTGGTAGTCCCTAGAAACCAAACAAGTTATATTTTCCAACATGTTCTGTATGGCCCCAAAGGAAGCACCTCTTTTTTCGAATAAAACCAATCTATATCCCACTTTCTTCTTCAACCGGCCACAATTTACCGCTAAAAATAGGTAACCATTTGCCTGGAAACATGGGAACAAAACGTTAAAAGAGAGAAAATAGCAATTCAATTGATCAAACTGAAAAAAAGGGAAAAAAGTCTATCCAGATTCAATGTCTTCATGCTCAAAGTAATTTTTCAATCAAAAAGGCCGATAAATCAATAAAACAAGTTCCCATAATCCGTATTTGTAGAAAAAACGAACGTTATATCAATAACACTCACAGATCCGAATTTAATAACAACAGGCAAAACCAGGCCGTTTAACAATTAAAAACACAATCTTTCAATATATTCTACAACTCAACAGGTCAAAAATTCTCAAAGTACATAATTCATTAATAGAGACAGCAGCCCAGATTCATCACTAAAGTCAGGGGCGAATTCAGGATGTTGAGCCAGCACGGGCGGCCGTAATAAAATATTAAGGGCTCGTTTGATATCATTATTTTTGCAAAAAAAATGCATTTTGAAATAGTGATTTGATGGAGAATATGTAGTTAAAAATAATAAAAAATTTCAAATTTACGTATAATATTACTTTATTAAAGAATATTTGATCGAAAATAAGGGAAAGAAAAATGAATTCTGAACTAAATGAGAATCAAACAAGGCTTAAAATTTAAATAAAATAATTATTTTGTTGAAGTTGAACATATATAATTTGTTATAAGAATAAATCGTACTCACCAAATAACATTATTGCTTTGTATAATTCAAAGGAAGAGCACGGTTTTAGAAATTTTACAATTGCATTAAACCCACTAAAATCTTACATATATTATTTTGTTAAACTTTGTATCGCAATTCATCAAATGTCATAATGGTCAAGCGTTCATTATAACTTAGAATAGCTCACTGGTTCGATTCCCCACTGGCCCTTTCCTTATTTCAATGGTTTTTGGTAAAAATTGTATAACTAAAAAATTATACAATAAATTGGTGGACAGATTCGAACCTGGGACATCAAAGAAACACATACAAGCGCTAACCAACTTGGCTAGAAGGGATGGCTGAAAGAAAAATGACTTACCAGTAATATATCCTATATATTTGTCTATTCTCAGCCAAAAAAAAATTGGCTCCCGGCGGATCCAACACGCGCGGCCGGGGACTCGTCGGATGCTGAATCCGCCAGTGACTAGAGGAATGGATCTAGAAGTCGATCCAGGGCAAGTGTTTGGATCTATTATGACATAGCCATGAGGCGCTCAATGAACCTTTTTATCTTATAAAATCTCATAAAACCTTTTTGTAGCTTTGGGTTGATGCAAACAAATGAATCATAAAAACTCCACAAAGAAACCAAGATCTCAAAAATTCACTCTGTATTCTAGCCCACAACAAGCCCTTTGGGCAACAACATAGGGCCTGACTTTCGGTATTACCAAACCTCCATATGGGATCATATAATCAGTAATACCAAATTTTCTGATGCAGAGGATCCTCAAAGAGGCAACTGCAGAGCATACTTTTGATACTACTTAGATCTTGCTCTTACTTATTCATTCTGAAATTTTCACAGTTGTCAAGACTATGGAAGAACAAAGAAAGGATTTTAGAAGAACATTGTTAAGAGGAACAAACTTTTTATTAAGAAGAGTTGAGCTCGAGATGATCCTCAATGAAAGATAAGAGCTCCTTATATAGAAGAGGAGCCTCATCATACAACCGACACAAAACTAATAATACTACCAATGACTCATTACTTTTAGTACAATACTTATTACATAAGGACATGACTCACAACTTAAAAGGACATGACTCATCACTTTACTAGCATGACTCACTACTTTTAGTACAATAATTTTACAACCATCTTTTAAAAAGTAAAGAATCTACTTTTTAAAAGGGATTTTATTGCAAACGACAAAATGATTATTTCACACGAGCTGCTGAGTCATCAAGGTGTTCCAAGATTAGCTTCTCGTCCAGGTTCATTTGATCCTCTGCATCAGAAAATTTGGTATTACTGATTATATGATCCCATATGGAGGTTTGGTAATACCGAAAGTCAGACCCTATGTTGTTGCCCAAAGGGCTTGTTGTGGGCTAGAATACAGAGTGTTATCACACCCCCACTATGTTGGTATCAGAGCCATGTTGTTATCTTGATCTTACTATTCTGATTGGAATTATCCAGTTTGAAAGAAACTAGGAAGAACACATTAAAAATTATGTCTGAATCTTCTAGTTCATCTATATTAGCACCCTCCACCTCCTTTCGAAAATCTAATGCTTCTAAAATCGACTCACTTTATGAAATATCTTACCTACCTGAATCTGAAAAAATCCCAGCTACAGATCTACCTCTTGTCAATCCTTATCTTCCATATAACAAACCCCGAAATTCCTTCACCAAAACTGTTAAAAGTATCATTTCACCATCAAAATCCCAAATCAAAGAATATGTTCAGGCATCAAAGTTTGATCAGCATCTTCTACCTGCTACTGAAAAGGAGCAGTTTGTTACCTTAGATTTACCATCCCATCTTCCAAAAGTATAGTTATCTGAAGGTTTTACCCATCTTCATTTTGAAGCTGTAAAGAATTGCACTTACCCTCCATGGAAGAAAAGGTCTCCCGGCTATTTCTAGAATTGCTCTTCTAGATACACGATTTGCTGATTATCAACATGCATGTATTGGCACTGTGGAAACTACACTCAATGCAGGAATAGTACTTGTTACTATGTTTCCAAATTTTAATATGCCAATTGCAGATCCATTATTGTTATCATCTTTAAAAATTCAGGTCCAAATTGTTGGAGCAGTTCCAACAGCAGTCACATATGGAGCAACACTTTATTACCAGATGGCTTACAAAATTCAAAATCACTCTCTTGATTTTGGCACTCCTAATGGGACGGATGATGCTTTATTAATTCAGATGGGAACAGATCAGCCAAGCTGTACATATGTCCCTAGACAGATTCCTAGATCCGAGCTCATTAAATTGGTCCCTCAAACCTGGGTTACTAGTTATGAGCAACATCACCAGGCGTCAAAAGACTCTCTGCCTATACAATCAGCAACTCATCATTTCAGGAGAAAGTCAAATGGCGAAGTTGAGATCATGTTTCAAAAAGAACCTGCAAATAAAAAGCCTCCCTGTTTTCCAACATAGTTTGCTTGTTCCAATGGAGAAATTCCCATTTATGGATTTGATGCAAATGACAGGCCAATTTATTGCAAATCTGATAACTCAGGACATATTTATTGGGATGTATGTTTCCGTGCAAAATGCATAGAAGATGAAGAAGATCTATTTAACGATCGTCCTTCCAGGAAGAAAAAGAAGAATAGCCAACAAAAGTTGCATGAAGCATATAAAAACAAATCTGCAGGAGTTGATTTGTTAGGAGAACCCTCTGGAAAATTTAACTACTATGTCAAGTACACTCCACCTCCTACAAGTAATGAATCCATTATTCCTACTGGTTGGGATGATGATAATGATGATCCATGGGATTGCGACCAACTACATAAAAAATGGGACTGGAATAATAGTCCACCTCCATCTCCTCAAATAGCTATGCCTATAGCTATGTTCCTCCCTCCTCAACAAGAAGAGTTTCCTCCATTGTCCTCTTTTAACAAAAGCAGTCAACTCATGCCTGGAAGATCAGGAATCCCACATCCAGAAAATCGGATGGTTCGATTGACCAGCTTTCAGCAGCAAAAGAAGTTTTAAACTGGCAGTCAGAAAATGCAGTCCAACAAAATTCCCTGTTGAGAAAAATTGACCAAAGTCAACAAAGAATTGAAAGGACTCTACAACAGCAAGCACAAACACTATTAACCCCTCTTCAAGCCTGTAAACAAAAGATTAAAACCCTCCATGCTGAAATCATGACCCTTTTACAAAACCGTTTACCCATAACAGATCAAGAAAGAGAAATAAGAAATCTCAAAAAAGAACTCATTTCTCTTGAAAACAATTCCATGATCCTACCTTCTACTCCATATCACCCTATCTCATATACCCATATATCACAAACTTCAGGACCCATGTATTCAACAGGAGCTTATGAATCCACATCTTCACTCTTCACTCTTCACTCTTGAAGAATGGGAAAAGAAATTGACACCTCTTTCTTATCCCGATATAAAGAAAACCAAATCATTAGCCTCACAAAATCTACAAACTTTACCTCCACCAACCCAGAAAAAAACCACAAATGATGATAAAAAAACTCCGTAACCACTTTCCTACAAAAAACTCAAAACCGTTCCTCTATAACTCCTATTTTAACCATCCCAAATGAAACTAGTTCTGAACTTGAAGAGTCCTCAGATGAATTTCTAGAAGATCATCCTCATTTTTATATGGCTGACAGAACACAATCAAGTCAAACTCAACAAGGAATTCCTGTTGTTGATGAGCCAGAAATAATTGATGAAGAAATTGCTGATCCTCATGTTGTGAACAATTATTATTCACAAAATAGTACTTCAGCAACCAAATTCACTGTTGATGATATTCCTCCAGCTTTGTGGAAAGCAAGATTTCAAGAAATGAAAGCATGGTGTTTAGCAGAATTACAAAGGCCAAATATGACTCATTCTGCAGTCATAAAATCTTTTCTGGCAAGAATCACTGGGTTCTTAAAAGATTGGTATGATGCTCTTGGAGAATATCGCTAGATCCAATATTCTAATTCCCCAACAATAGATGCTTTCATAGAATCATTTATTGGGAATTCTGTGGAAAGACGGATCATTTGAAGGATATTGCAAGAGAAGAATTCTTCAAATTGAAATGTTGTTCTTACAATCCTAAAGATCTAGATAAACATTTCCACAATGCTGCCAGGCGATACTACCTCATTGGTGGAATGGACGATACAAATATAAAGCAGGCTTACTTAGAGTCCATCCCACAGCCTCTTGTCAAGAGACACTCAGAATGATTGAAATAAAAGGACAATCATTGGGAACCACTTCATTTGGAGAGCTTCACAACTAGGTCAAAAGAACCTTGAAAAAACTCTGCAATCAAAGAGAGTTTTTAAAGAATATTAGTACAACAGGACAGAAGCTTGAAAAGGCGTGTGATCAGCCAGATTTGAAGATTAGTGCCGACATGATAACAAGAGTTGTGATTGTCCAGGAAAGAAGAAATTCCACAGAAGGAGGTTCAGATTTCGGAATAAAAGATTTTCCAAATCTTTTCCTCGAAGAAGAAGATATTTTAAAAGAAAATTCACAAAGAAAAAGGGAGACAGGTATTTTATCTGTGGAAAGAAGGGCCATTTTGCAAAAAATTGTACCAACAAAAAGAAGGAGAAAATTTTACACCAAATCTATGCAGCAACAAAAGTGGAAGAAGAAGCGGACCATGAATCGGTATTCTCTGAAGAAGATGAGCAGTCCCCTGAAACTATCCTCGCATTGGAATTTGACTCCGATGATGAGAGCACTAATGGCTATGACAGTATAGAGAAATGCTATGGAATGCAAGTAATCAATCTTAGTCTTCCAGTTCCGATGATTGAAGTCAAAATATTTCCAGGAAAATATGAAAGACCAATCACAGTTGCAGGTCTGTTTGACACTGGAGCAGCTTGTTCAATCTTAAATCCAGCCATTCTCCCCAAAAACATGTGGAAAACACATCAACAAATATTCCAGGCAGCCAATAATGAGTATTTTTCAACAGAGTTGATAAATAAGCCAGTGACAATTCAGTTCTTTCCTGAATGTAATGTCTCACACAAGTTACTTTGATCATCTTTACCAGGGAAGAATATTGTAATTGGTTTTGATATCATTCGACAATTGTGGGCAAAACGTGTTATTCCTCTTCCAAATGGCCTTAGATACAAGTCCTACTTTTTGCCATACATACAGCCAACCACATATTTTTCCATAACCAGCCTTGATGATATAACAAGCTTATTAATCCGAGAATGTTGTGCAGATTCTCACACAGATTTTCTCACAAAATGCACTCTCCCTCTATGGAAAAATCCAGATTTTTTCATAGCCCTACCTTTCAAAAGAAATGAAGACGTTAACCCTACTAAAGCCAGCCATATTGGAATGAGCCCTGAACACCTCCAGTTAGTAACCAAAGAGTTAAGCCAATTGCAAGATGATGGTCTCATTGAACCTACTACTTCTCAATGGGCATGCCAAGCATTTTATGTCAACAAAAAAAGTGAACAAGTTCGTGGAAAAATGAGACTTGTGATTGATTATAAACCATTGAATCACTTCCTTGCTGATGACAAGTTCCCTCTTCCAAACAAAAGAACTTTATTTGCCAGTCTGTCCAAAGCGCAGATATTTTCAAAGTTTGATCTAAAAGCGGGATTTTGGCAATTGGGAATTAAGAAAGATGAAAGGCATAAGACAGGTTTCTATATCCCAAACTACCACTATCGGTGGACGGTTATGCCATTCGGTCTTAAAACGGCCCCCTCATTGTTCCAAAAGGCTATCACAAGAATTTATCATCCAATATTAGAGTCCGCATTAATCTATATTGATGATATTCTCTTGTTCTCAAAAGATACTGATTCTCATTCTCAACTGTTGTCTCAATTCGCTGATCTGATAAAACAAGTTGGAGTAATGCTTTCTCAGAAAAAGATGGTTATTGGAGTCTCTGAAATTAATTTCTTGGGCATGCATATTAAAGATGGTCAATATTCTTTACAATCATATGTTGATCAGGAATTGTTAAAGTTTGCAGACACAGATCTTTCTAAACGAGAAGTCCAACAGTTCCTTGGGATTGTAAATTACATAGCCGATTTTGTTGATCATTTAACTCCTATTATCAGACCATTGCAGAACATGCGGAAAAAAATGCACCACCGTGGTCTTCAAAACAAACAAAAGCAGTCCGAAAAATCAAACAAAAGTTGCAAGAACTTCCAGCTCTATCTATCCCTACTAACAGGGAAAGGATCTTACAAACTGATGCAAGCGATCTATATTGGGCAGCAGTTCTATTGGAGGAGAAAAATGGAAAAAGAAACATTTGTGAATACAAAAGTGGAGCATTCTCAGAAGCAGAAAAACATTATCATTCCACTTTCAAAGAAATCTTGGCGGTAAAACGTGGTATTGAGAAATTTCAATTTCATCTCATTGGACACAAATTTCTTATTGAAATAGACATATCAGCATTCCCTAAAATGCTTTCATTCAAACAAAAACAAATTTCAAATTCTCAACTACTCAGATGGGCAGAATGGTTTTCAAACTTTGACTTTGATGTCAAACATATAAAGGGAAAAACCAACCTCCTTCCAGACCTACTCACCAGACCAAAAGCTTTTCACTCCCAACCTATCCCTGTAATCTGTATGATAAACCTTCCCTTTCATTTGCTTTCTCAAAATGAACAAATTCCCCCAGAACTTAATACTCTCATCAGAGACAAAACCCTCCATTCCCGAGCCAAAGAGTTCATGTTAAAATACCAGTCCATTGTTATCAGGCAAACAGGAATTGAAACTCTTGGCGGTCTTAGATTTCATCCAGATTATCAATTTTTTAATTTATTCCATATAATCCCACACCAAACAGTTTCAAAATTTTTAAAGGAATTACTTTATTTTCTGTGGTACTTATTGGAACTTTTCCAAATTGGAGTTTCTTTTAATGTTTGTGAATCTCTTGAATGGTTCAAAGAAATCACTTTTCGAAGTTTTAACAAAAATGATCCATTTCAAGAAGCACATTTTGAGGCAAAGAAATTTTTCGAATGGTTTTATCCTATTTTTCATTGGATAAAAATGTTTGAAGCATTTTCTTTAAAATTTAAAGATTTGAGAACTTCCCAAAACAATGTTTTTGTAATTCTGATGTTCCAACGGCAAGGATATTTTATAGAAACAGGTTCTTATGAACACTTCTCTTATGTTAAGGAGTATGCAGTCCAACCTTTCAATCTCCATCAAGATTGGGAAAGGTATCCAAAGGAGTTTCGAGAATTTTAAAGAAAAATGGCTGAAATCAACCAGACAATTCCTCCACAAATTTGGCCGACATAGAAGATGATGCTCCATGGGAAATTCTACCTCTAGACTATGCAACTAAGATTCAGCAACACATTCAGAAACACAGAGAAGGACAATGCCAAATTTTTGGACAAGTATTTGGACACTATCCATCTGCTACTTGGGAAAGTGACAAAACCCATTGGAACCAGCTTTAGTTGGGAAGGCCACATCAATGCCTTGGAGAAACATTTAAATATCCAGAAACCACACCAGAAGGACAACAACTGCGTAACAATCTCTGGAATGAATTTCAAGAAAAAATGAAAATTAATAAAATGGATGTGGACAAACCAGGATCAAGCAATCCAAATAAACAAAACTCAAGATATTTGGACACGGAAATAAATTATAATGACAGTGTTTTTCAAAACTTTCAAGATCCATATGATTATGGAATACAGTCGTATGATTTTGATCCAACAGACCCATACAATCTTGAAAAATTGGAAGAAAAATTTTTTGAAGAAAAATTTGATACTAGAACTTAGCCTTGGTGGAAGCAACATGAACTCTCCTCTAATTCAGATGATTCAAATGAACCTGGACGAGAAGCAAATCTTGGAACACCTTGATGACTCAGCAACTCGTGTGAAATAATCATTTTGTCGTTTGCAATAAAATCCCTTTTAAAAAGTAGATTCTTTACTTTTTAAAAGATGGTTGTAAAATTATTGTACTAAAAGTAGTGAGTCATGCTAGTAAAGTGATGAGTCATGTCCTTTTAAGTTGTGAGTCATGTCCTTATGTAATAAGTATTTTACTAAAAGTAATGAGTCATTGATAGTATTATTAGTTTTGTGTCGGTTGTATGATGAGGCTCCTCCTTTATATAAGGAGCTCTTATCTTTCATTGAGGATCATCTCGAACTCAACTCTTCTTAATAAAAAGTTTGTTCCTCTTAACAATGTTCTTCTAAAATCCTTTCTTTGTTCTTCCATAGTTTTGACAACTATGAAAATTTCAGAATGAATAAGTAAGAGCAAGATCTAAGTAATATCAAAAGTATGCTCTGCAGTTGCCTCTTTGAGGATCCTCTGCATCAGAAAATTTGGTATTACTGATTATATGATCCCATATAGAGGTTTGGTAATACCGAAAGTCAGGCGCTATATTGTTGCCCAAAGGGCTTGTTGTGGGCTAGAATACGGAGTGTTACCATACCCCCACTATGTTGCTATAAATTCTTTTATATGCAATAAATTACAGTGAAAAATGAAATCTTGCATTGTTTTTCCAATAACATTAATTAAGAATTGAGATTGAACCTATTAATCCTGTTTAAGGACAAACTTCATCACATCAAAGCGTCAAAAAAAGCAGTATTAAAGCAGATCAACTAATTTAAACGAAATATGAAACGGAGAAATAATAAATAACAATAAAATTTAGCAATAGAGGGGACTTACATATTGGATAAGAAGCAAGAAGAGTAGGACCTGATTGAAATTACTGGAATAGAGTTATAGAACTATCCTTCCCCCGCCTCTCTCTCTCTCTCTCTCTCTCTCTCTATATGTATGTATACATGTATGTAAATGCTTTTGTTTGTATGTTTTTACCCGTGTTTATGTATGTATATGTTTGTCTTGTGAGGGAAAGAGAGAATCTGCAGTTTGAGTTCTTATTTTTGTTAAGACAAATGTTTTGGATTCTCTCTGCAAATCAAAGCAAAGGCTTTGGGTTTTTGGTTTCGGCTTAGGCTTTGGGGCATAATCTTGGACCCCTTTTATCGAAGCCAAACCACACACCCCAAACACACCCCTCCGCCCCGACTCGACCTCTATATAATCATAAAGAATTATTTGCCCAAAAAAATTATTCAAAATTATTTTTTTATTTGTATATGGTTATTTTTCTGCTAATATAAATATTTCTGGTAGCATATGCTCTATTTTACATTGCCTTACAGTTTTCGAAATGTTCATTACTTTGCTTTTCTCATTTTGGATACATAGTTTATCGTGATAAATGAAATTAACATGATAAATAACTTATTTTGTGCCATGTTTGTTATACATTGAGAAATAAGATTATGACAGATTTTCTTTAATTATATTTATGATTGTACAATGAAGTGTAATTCATAGCACTTGATAACATTAAGTCCCCGTTTGTTTCTCATTTTTGGAAGAATGAGAATGAAAAATATAACCGTTACGGTTCCACACAAGAGATAGAAATTCAAATTTTGTGGCTTGATGTAATGAATAACGGTCATATTTTTCATTTTAATGAAGAAAGAATAAAAACCAAACATGGGCTAAATATATGATTTTCACTTATTTTTCTTTCTCATATTGTTAATCATGTGCACCTTACCAAGTAAGCTATTGTGATTGAGTAATAATATTTATAGTCAGTGATTACAGTAGGCATAATTATATGATAGCTTATTATTTTAGATATTAGTTTATTATTAAAGCTCACATAATTACTTGAAATTAATGCATCAAATAACAAGATGCCACACAAAATAATTACCGCAATCATTGAAGGATATGTGGAGAGGCAGTTCAAAAAATGAAAATGAAATATTTCATGAATACGGAAAAAGAAATAGTCCACGGGTTGAGCGAGTGACATTTATATTGGTTCCTGGTGCGAAAGCGATAATTAAATTCTTGTAATGAGAATTGGAATAAAAAATATTTAGAAATAACTTTCTTTGTATTAATTGAGTAATGATTGATAATAATAATAATGATTGCTGATATGAGAATTATACAATACCTCCTATATTTATAGGCAAATTATCCCCTACTTCTAACGATATTAGGAAATTGAAATTAGGAAATTAGGAAACTAATAAAATTCTATTATAATTAAAACTCATATTCTACTCAATAAAGAAACTATAGTCTTAATTAAATAAAATATAAAAATCCTATTACAAGAAACTAAATAGAAAATAAACTCGTAAAAAAGACAAAACATATTAGTAGCAGGAAATCAACTATAGTTGTGATGTCTACATTAATCCCTTCCACTTAGAGAAAACTCGTTCTCGAGTTTTGCTTTTGTAAGGAAAAGAAAATCTATCAATCTGGAGGAAAATACTCAAAAATTTCTATCAATACTGATAAGAAATTTCAATCTCTTGATGTGCTCGATAAATGTTATTTTCTTCAATTTCATTGTTTGAAGACAATTTTGCTTCTACCATGCTCATCCTATTTTCTTCATAGATAGTTCCTACGTAACCTTCCTTAATTAACGAAGTATGATTCGATTTCTCTTCCTTCGATTCGCTCTCGTAAATTCGTAGTGGCACGAGTTTGCAAACGTCGTGATTCGTACACCTCACACCTAGCCCATCAAGCCTTGGTCCCAGCTATTGTCATCGATGGTGATCAACAACGAGCCAGAGTCTCTCTTACAAGCCTGGATCGAAGTCTAGACCTAATTTAGTGTGCGTGTTGATGTCCGCTGCAACCCTGGGGGTTCCTCTCGTTGAATTAGTGTCTCCTTCGTCATCGCCAGAATATGGGTTGTCTTCTTTCAGCCAATCATCTTGTCTATCGGGTTGTTCTTCCATGGGCTCTCGATTCTTCTCAATAGTCAACGTAGTCAGCATCTGTGTAATTTTGCAAAGAGTCTCACGCTTATCCAATTGTTCTGCACTGAACTCACAGTGATTCTCAATAATCATCGCAGTTAGTATCTGCGTGATATTGCAAAGAGCTTCTTCCCATCTAGTCGTCGTTCAATTTTTAAAACCTCCATTCATTGTCGGTGGTTTGCTTGCCACTCGAACCGTCATCGGTCATCAAATTAAGGCAAGTCCTTGCTCTGATACCAATTTTGATGCGGAAGTGATAATAAGAATTAGAATAAGAAATATCTAGGAATAACTTATTTTGTATTAACTGAATAATGATTGATGATGATGATGATGATGATGATGATTGTTGATAAGCAAATTGTACAATACCTCCTATATTTATAGGCAAATTATCACCTACTTCTAATAGTATTAGGAAATTGAAATAAGGAAACTAGAAAACTAATAAAATTCTAATATAATTAAAACTCATATTCTACTCAATAAAGAAACCATAGTCCTAATTAAATAAAATATAAAATCCTATTACAAGAAAACTAAAAAGAAAATAAACTCCTAAAAACAATAAAACATATTAGTAGTAGGAAATCAATTGCAGTTGTGATGTACGACATTAATTACGTAAAGAAACAATTCATGATTACTAAAAAGAATTTAATTTTAAAAGAAAAAGGTAAGTGTCTGTGTGTTTAACTGAAAATTAAACGACAAGTGAAATCCTCGTGAAGTCAATAAATAGGAAGTTTGAAATGCCATTTTAGTTGAAAGGTCGAGTAGATGCGGCGAAGTGCAAGGGAATGAAAAATCATTGATAAATAGAAAATGGAGGGAAAAAAAAAAGAATTATGATTGATTTATTTATCTATTAGCTATTTCCTTAATAAACGAATCATAAGCCAATTAATATCTAAGTGTAGATAATTTCACTTTATTTATTATTACGACTAATCTTATTAACTTTCAAAATTGTTCAGCAATTTCTACTTTTATTTAAAAATGTTAACTTAGAATTAACAAAAAGATTGTAAGAATATTTGAGATTTTTTCTCACTCTTTTATCGGGTAGATAGAATTGGGGAGTGATATCGATAATTGAAATTATCAAATTCATTGTTCATCAATAGTGAATCTCGTTTGCAATTAGACAAATGTCGAAATTCAATAGTTTTATTAAAATTCTAAATTTCAATGTCAAATGTTGACTTTATTAAGATGTGTAATACAAACATTATATGTTGGTAATTTATATCATCTATAATCGATGTAGGATTTATACATGAATTTTTTTACAAATATCCTACTATAAAAAGAAAATTGAAAAATATTGATGAGCGATAAGAAGTTGAAAATTACCATTTCATTTTGTATTAAAGTTTTAGATATGATCTAACGAGTATCGATACTCATTTTATGTTAGGTTTGGATGACATGGTGTATTAATTCATTGATAAATAAATTTATTGTGAGCCTCAATATATGAATTAAATTTGTTATCCACTAATGAATTGATATGTCATATCACCGATATTTAGCATAAAATTAGCACGAATACTCATTATTTCATTTCTATTAAAACTTAGGGTAATTAAAACATAACTTTCTTACTTTTCAATGTTATTGTGCAAAACGTTCATACCTTTCATTTTTTTGGTACTTACATTTCTATTTCTAACCTGTTCACACGTCTGGGTGATGTTGCACTTTCATCATAAACAAGCGTGGCAATTTTATCTTTAATATAATTAATCATATAATCTAATCTCTTTCTAACTAATTAATTAATTAAAGGCTGCCTCTTTTAATCAAAGTTAATTAAGTGGGATTACAGGTGTTAGATTGTCCGCCTGTGCCGGCTTTATTTCTCTTTTAGGCTAAATTAAAAGAATTAATCTTTTTAATTTACTTTTGTTTAAATTTAATGTCATGTACACCAACTTGCTAAAGAATGACTTGGCTTACTTAATTACCAGAATATAAGTTTAATACAATTAACTCTGAAAATAAAACACAAGAGTCGTATTCTTTTGATGATGACAAAAAATCATTCGTTGCGTTACAGGATTATGTTTACAATAATTCTCGATACTAAGACTAGATGTTTCATCTTGAAGTATTAATTTTATTAGAAATACTAGCCCAAAGTTTTATATATTCATTTATATTTTATAATTAGTCGACGTCAAATCTGTCATTTGATATACCTTTGTAAGATGGTGGCTCATTTTAGCATATCAATTTTAAAATTCATATGCTCATTTTTTAATCTTAATCGAATTAACTTGTTTGAATTATATGAGCCGTGATACCATTTTTGTAGAATAATTACATTTCAGTTTCGTAGAAAATTACTTGGTGGCATAGAGAAAATTTGAAATACACTTACTTTCCAATTGTATATTTGATTCAAAATTTGAACTAAACCCCGTGTCCAATTCCAAATGACCACTACTTGCCACCATTACCAATATGCATCGTTGTTGGCACCTTCGTTGATCTACACAACAAATTAAAAACCAAACACTACCGTCCCATTCAAACCCTCACTGCTCGACCACCATCATCTTGTCAGAATGAGATGTTGGAATTGGCTTTATTAAGAGGTTGTTTGGGAGTGACTTTTTACCCCCAAAAATTTGAATTTTTATAGTTATTTTACTATTACAATCGTAAAGTTTGACTTCTTCTCTCACGGGTGGCCCTCACTTTTCTCCTAACGGTCAAAAAATCAATTTTCAAAATCGCTCCCAAACGGGGCCTAACTCTTTATTTCAGTTTCCTTTTTTTTTTCTTTTTTTCTTTTTTTCCTTGATTCTCCAACCCAAGCGAAGAATAAAGGAGAGTTCCAAAGGAAGATAATCATATATCATGGCAACCCATAATTATCAAAATATGCCTACAGAATCCGGTTCTCAATTAATTAAAGAATATGAAAAAGCAGTGAAAGAATCACTTTATTAAAAATTGCATAAATTATGGAAGTCTTCCACTACGTGGAATGATGAACACTAGACATTTCTTTGTGGTGCATCACCTTTCCAAAACTTTCTCTTGAAATGACCTTTGCTTATACATGAATCATTCCAGAAATGAATGTCCTAAGACGATTAGTGTAATTACGTGTTTAAACTGTAATTATCTATTTGATAGT